ACATTTTTACAGGAAAAGGTTGATGAAAAGGTAATAGAAAATGAAAAGGCACAAGCTACTATGACTAGTTTTGCTGATGGTGACATTATCGCAAATGGCATCTCTGCTTAGGTAAAGCACATGCACAGGCACCTGCAAAATAGACAGCTCTTGCAATGTTCTAGAGAAATAGAGTTCAAAATACTAACCAGTAAAAGAAACCACATTAAGACTCAGATAACTTTTAATATGATTTTCATTGTGCTATGTAGCTTTCAATTTTAGTGTTATCTCTCATACAAAACATTCAAAACAGCTGTATAGGTAATAAGCGAGGCCCTACAAAGGAAATAATACTGTTAAAGTTCAGTGAAATGTCATCATTTATGGTATGTGTGTATTTACCTGTGCTCATAAGACAAAAGATGATGAGTATAGAGCATGGTTTCATTCATAAAGGTCTGTAATCTTTCCATATCCTTAGTCATCCCCCAGAATCGAGAATTATCAGGGGTTTAAAATGCCCACTTCCCAAGTGATGAGAATGATTATTTTTTAAGGCTCTGAGCACTGGATAGAAATCATCACAGTGTCACAGAATCACTGATTCTCCAGCAGGGTCCTGGGAAGAGTCTTCTTTACACCCTTCATTCAGTTGCTTATACACATTGATAAGATCCCTCCTCAGCGTTGTCTTCTGCAGCTAGCGAGTACCCGCTCCCTCAGCCCCTCTGTGCATGAGAGACGCTCCCATCCCGTAATCACCCTTGTGGTCCTTGGCCTACCCGGGGCTGAGGAGCCCAGAACTAAATACAACACTCCAGATGTGGCCTCTGCCACATCTTATAGATCTTATACAGTACTGGACCCAGAACTGACCTCTGGGCTCCACCAGTAGTTACTGGTTGAATAGCAAATATGCCAACAGAAGTTCATGTGATATTTGAGCAATTCATATTTTGAATTGGGAGATTTTACCTAGGACTTATATGCAATTAATTGATAACGATTCTACAGGTCCTATATAGAATAACCAATGTTTTACTGAATCTCCATATTACTTTCTCATGTGTACAGCAAGTCCACATAACTATCCATTTACAGATATAATTCTCTACAGTTGTTCTGTATATTTGGTGAGATTACATTAAAAACGAAAGTGATACGAAATAGTGAAAATCATTTTTAAAGTCACTTGTGTTTTAATGTGTCTTTTGACTATTTTTTTTCCAGAATCATTGCAATAGGTGGTGATTTTGAAGCTACTTTTCCAGCACCTCTATAGAGATGGCATTTAAGATAATACCACTGCATCAGCAAAACTACCAATTCAGGTATTTTAGTTTTATCTTGCTTTATAGCCCTTTATACAAGGCCTTCCTATAACAGTTCTGCAGTGGCATTAATTTCATAAAGGTCCTACAGGTCATTCTTATTTTCAGTCAAATAACATTATTTGAGAATTTTAATGATGCTTTTGCATTAGTGTTGTAATAGCTAGAATTGTTATAAAATCCAACAATGTATGAAAATGTCATCATTAGGGGTGAATGAAGCAGTTCAGCTGAAAATGAAAATCGTCTCAAATTTTTGCAGGTGTTCAGAATACTTGAGGTAATTTCTTTTTGTCTCCCTTGCTTCCACTTCTCAGGCACATTACAAGTCCCCATGTCTAGAATATTATCATAACTGATCTTTAGAGACAAAGGATGTGCTTAGAACTAATAATGTAAACTTAAGTGCAACATTTGGTATAGTGCCCAATGGAAAATTATTAGCTAAAATGCAATATTAGTACAAAAATTGAAAAGTGGATAAGCAAGTGAGTAGTAGAAGAAAATAAGTGTTGAAGGGAAGGTAGAGTTTGTCAAGCATCAGTCTTGGGCCTGATATGGTTGGCATAAAAAATAGTCGTATGTTAATGGCATTTACCAGTGATGTAAAAGAGGGAGATACCGTTAACACAGAGACAAAGAATTTTCCCTTAGGAAGAAGTGGGTGACCTCGAGGAGCGGAATAGAAATGGATGAAAGGATTTGAGCACAATCTCTCTTTGGGCTTGTTAGCCAGGGTTCTGCTATACCTGGATGCTTAGGAGGTAAGAAATGATCAAGGAGGGGACGTAAAGCATGCAAAGCAAGGCATTTTCGCCACAGTAATAAAGTAATCGTAAGGGTGTATATGGCACCTGGTGGGATTTAGTCCGCTACACACAAATTTGTTTCACTTTTCAGAAGCACAGGGAAAGACTATTAGATTGACCATGACGAGGGAGAGTCCTAACTATGAGAGGAGTTTAGGAAAATGAAGGCTGAGAGGGCTTTATAAATAACTCAGAGGCCTAAGCTCCAGGAATGGAAAAATGTCTATTTAAACTAAATGACAACATTGGCACAAGAACAAATGAGCACAAATTGGCCATGAATAAATTTAGGTTGGAAATTGGAAGCATGTTACCAAACAACAGAATAGTGATGTTCTGCAATTGCTTTCCAATGAGAACAGTGGGAACAACAACAACGACAGACAAACAAGACCACAACAAACCCCAAGCTACTTTTAAGAGAGAGTATAATGATTTGCTGAAAGGGATTGTATGATGTGCTTGGCTAAGATAGCAGAGAACTAGACTTGATGACCCAAGAGGTCTATGCAGGCCTATCTTTCTAAGCCTGTGTTTCATGGCCGAATATTTCAGGGCACTTTAAAGTACTTCCTTTCCTTCATGTATATTTTTGATAAATTTTTCATAGCATGCTGCAAGGACTGCTATCTTCACTGATATAGCTTAGGCCAAAGCTATGGCATGCATGAATATGCTGAATGTTGTCCAAATTAAGCAAGAGAAAGGACCACCCAGGATCCAATAGGGCCAGCTGAGTGGTCCTTTTAGGTCACACGTTTCCACTGGAAGGCAATGGAGGCTACGTCCTACCTAGAATAGATTCTTGGTCATTTCTCCTGCTTTCCTAAGGCTTCTGCTGTATTTTACAGTTTGCACTCTCAGCTCGAGCGAGGTGCAGCATTGTGAAACAGGATGACAAGCAACAGTTCTCCTGCATTTTGTTTCAAAATAAGTGTATTAAAAATAGGAGCAGTCGGTACGAATACAGCCGTGCAAAGTTGAAGGGAAGACAACTTGACTGGTGCAAGGGAGGGTTCCTCCAGCCGTGGTCATACAGCACAGAATAGCAACAGCAGTGTCACAAAATCTCTCTTAGACCAAGCAGCACCAATGTCACTGGTTTTGGAGCAGTTTGTGTTGTGCTCTCTGCCCTTGACAGTTACCTGGTATCATTTGTCACATAGCTCAACATTTCAATTACTTCTTAAAAGCTGCATATTCCCTAGCCAGCAGGGCATTAAGGGATTTGTATGGACGCAGTGGTGAGAGTTTTGTGGCTTCTCTACCTAGCGAAAGCCAAGTGCAGCGTTTACAGCCCTCTCTTTTTCATTAATAGTTGCTGCTTCATCAAACCCCTGTAAGTATGCAGCGCCCTCAGGTAATGCTGTGACTCCACAATTAGGACAGCTTCTTGCAGTCAAAAGTTTCATGATTTTCTACAGATGCCTTGGCTGAAACCAGTGAGTGGGAAAATGACGCCTGCGACATTGGATGACTCTGGCTGCTTTCCTTTCCCGCTAACAACACGCATACTTCCGAAATCAAGTGATTAATATTGAAAATAGGCTGAGAAATGGGAAAGTTAGATGAAATCCCCCAGAGTACAGGTAGTTTGAAAAAAAGAGGAAAGAAGTAGGCAGCAGCTTTGCGAGGGAGTGTTGCTTTGCTTGTACATTGTCACCATGCATATTAATCCCATTTACAGTAGGAAGTAGCACTACTTTGTTGTGCAAATACTTTAACAACTGGTTTAAAAAATTAAGCAGGAAAGCTGAGTCCCCAGATTCACCTGAATAGGAGATTGGAAATCTATGTAATAAACCTGAACAGCCATAAAGAGCAGCAGAAGTCCGTCTTAATCTGAGCTCTTCCTCAGCCTGTGCAGCTGCTGTGGCCCTGAGCAGGAGGCAGTCCCTGGCTGGAGGTGGCAGCAGCGGGAAGGGGCTCCCAGGCCCCTGGGAAAGCAGTGGCTTTGCCATTAGGCACGGATGCATGGCTCTGTGGCCAAGATAACGATGATATGTGGGACAACAAATGCCCGCCCCTCCAAGTTTGCATGCAGTTTGAAATAAAATATTGGTAATGAAAAGCTATCTTGAGGGTCAGATTTGAAAGGTAAAAAGTCGGAGAGGCTCAAGAGAAAATACTTCGATTGATGAACACCTGAAAAAAACCCTTACTTTTGGTTGTTTTTTTTTTTTTTTTTTTTTTCACTCTTTGTTCCTAAGCTTTCTGTTGCAAGACACTGATTTTTTTTTTTTTTCAGTTGGGACACGGTGTTCTGTGCCCGTGTGAGCTTTTATTTTGTGCGGCTGTGTTTGCTCGCCACCGCCTTGATACTGCTGCGTAGCGCAGCTCAGCCTCAGCAAGCGGGCTCTGCTCTCCCATGAGTCGAAATATCTGGAGGGAGAAAACAACTCTGCAGACCATTTGCAAACAAACAGAGCCATTTGCAAACAGGAGCCCATCAGAGGTTTCAAGGTGCAAGCGCGTCAAGGAAACACGCGTGACCACAGGAGAAGCCTCTTTTCCGTCGGCGTTCCTGGGCTCCTGCTGCTGGCTGCTGTGGCACACAAGGACACCTGCTCACCGTGGGGCTGGTACCTCTGTCACCCCGTGGGCTGCGTGATTGAGAGCCGTGTGTTTGAAATGGCACCTCGGTGCCACACGTGGAGGCGTGTGAGCATGTCACGACGTGAGGAGACAAGCCGAAAGGAAGCTGCGCTCCTTCCTCCCTCTTTCCTCATCTCACTGCCCGCCCCAGGAGGCCCCCAAGGCGTGAACACATCCTGTTTACACCTACCCTTGTGGCAGAGCTGAGGAGCACTTGGAGGCAGCGGCGTGTGTGTGAGCACCGCACCGCTGTGTCCCCGCGCCGGGACAGCGCCTCGCTGCCATGGAGTCCCTGCCCGTGTACCATGGTGGCATCACGCGGGAGGCCGGCGAGAAGCTGCTGCTGGCCTCGGGGCTGGATGGCAGCTACCTGCTGCGGGACAGCGAGACCATCTCGGGTGTCTACTGCCTCTGCGTGCTGTGAGTATAGCAAGACAGCAGCCCCTCAACGCAGCGCGGGAGGGAGCCGGGCCCCTCGCTCCTCGAGCTGGTGCCTGAGGGACTGGCCGCACAGACAGCGACTGGTGGCTCACTAGCCAGTGTCTGCAGGGTGCTCCTGCCTAGACATGAAGGCAAATGTCTGAAGTCTGGTTCCAAAGACCTCGTAGAGCTTTTTTGGGGTCTCAACCTGGGAGATGACTTGCTTGGGAACATGGAGGAGGCCATAAATGCTGCAGTAGAGATGGGCTGGGTGCTGTGGCTTGAGGATCGCGTGTGCTGCTGCTCAACCTCTTGCTCTTGGTCAGATGCTTCTGCCTCTCCAACGCCAGCTTACCCACGTCCCCATCTTCTCCTGGCTTGGCGAGGCAGTGGGAGCGGCAGCACCAAGTCGTTGCTATTCCGGACAAAGACTTGCCTTCACCTGGGTGCTGGCTCTCAGCTCTGTGTCCCCCATGCAGTCGGATGAGGAGTAAATGGCCACTGTGCTGTTTGACACAGCAATGGGTAACAAACTAAGGTAATTCATCAGCTTGTGAAAGAGATGGATCAGATGTTCTATCAGAAAGGGGGGAGAGAGGCTTCTTTGACAGAGCTTTGGGACTGCACAGGCATAGGGCCTCATTTTAATGAAGCATTTTAATTGCCCTACTTTTAGCAAAAGCTGAAGCTTGAGAAGTCCTGAGAGTTAGTTCTGCAGGATGCAGTGTTGTTGTGCTGAAGGAGCAAAGAGGTGTCTATCAAGGCTAAATAGATGATTGCTTCTTATTTCAGCTAAAAACTGAAAGTTGGGGGAAGGAATATGAGAGAAAACTGTTCTCGTGTCAGTCAGAAATTCACTAACAGATAGCAAAGACACTTAGAGGTACCAAGCAGAAGAATGGAAAAGGCAAAGTCATAGGTCAAGCTTTCCCCAAAGGTGTTGAATTCATTGCAAGCAATTTGTAATTAAGCCCTGGGTGTGCATTGCAATTCCTGTTCTGCAGCCCAGTAAATGGAGACATGTGAGGGGGTTATAGGTGACCACAAATGCACCACCACCTTTTAGGGAATGGTCTTCATGGCAGAAGAGGCATACTACTCTCATGAAAGTAGAAGATGAACACCACTGCTAACAAATGCTTTACCTCAGCCTTTACCAGCAAGCTGGAAAATTAGAAATATGAAGTATCCTGAAAAAAACAAAAATAGAATAACTGTGCAGAGAGGTAAGGAGTGCTGTGATTTCAGCAAGGGGATAGGCAATAAAAGCAGAAGCCTTTTTAAATAAATATTAGAGGAAATGGTGATATATCTCCTTAACACTCAGAAGCCATTCAGTGCAGGCAAAGCACTAAGGAATTAGAAAGAGGGTCAAGCGGAATGTTACAATGCTGCCTAAAACAGAGGAGCCTAAAATAAGAAGTCCATCATCAGCCTACATCAGGATGTAAGTGTATAACAAGGTCTTTCGTCTGCATGCAGTCAGTTGGGACATTTTGCTATATTAATGGTAATTTATGTTCTTAGGATAAAAGTTCTTGAGTGAAATAAAATACATATAATAGGAAGAACAGCAAGGATTTTTAGCTATGGACTTTTTCAAATTTTGGGGAAAACTAAAAATAGATTCAGTAAGGAACAAACTGAATCCAATTGTTTCTGGAAATTATGGGACTTTCATGTAAGATCTCTGCACTAAAAAATATTCCAGATAAATATTATGCAGGCTTCCTGTAGAATATAGGTTCTTTAAAATGTTTTATAATTCCTCAAGTATGAGGGAAATGTTCAATAACATCTTGGGTAAGTCCAGCTAAGAAATTAAATGAAATATGTTACTATGACTATGATCCAATATAGCTGGCTGAAAAATGCCAGCATTAAGTCTCGATGCCAATACTTCTTGATACTTCAGTTCAGAACATTGTGTAAGAAATAGATGATACAGTAAACAACGTATCACACAATAACTTCAAAGACAGTTATCATAAAGATACCAGAAAACGGTCTCGCACTGACGACAGCAATGACAGTTTAGAGAAATGTGTGCCATAAACCAGAAAAGTGCTTTAATGGGCAAAAGTTTACTAAAGCAGAACAGTTTTGTAAAGAAACTGGAGGAGCAAGTAGGGAAGGCCTTAGAGATGTATTCAATGGAGGACTCTAAGCTTGGATTTAGTAAAATAAACCAATGGACTCAAGCCCCCAAACTCTAATCGGAAGAGCAGACATGGGGTGCTAGATGACTTGCTAGAGACAAGTCCTGTGACAGCTGCAGGGTTGTACTCTATAATGCCCCGTTTTTTTCCAATTTCATATTCATTCCATAAGTTGATGTCACCCTTTCGCCTCCCTTGGGCACCCCTGAAAACCTAGACACACTTTGGCAGCCTTGGAGGCTCCTTAGGCACGTAGCGAAGGCAGCGCTGTTTACGGCCAGGCTCGATTGCCTTTTCTTCTTCCAATTAAAAGTGGAGCCCTGACCTTTAGAAGGGAGAAGAGTCAAAGACTTGCTGCAGCCCTTGCGATTGACACTGATTTTACAGAGCAAGCATAAAAAAGACAGGTAGCTGCATAAAACCTGAGCTATGGCCGTGGGTAAGAGTGGCAGGCAGGGCGCTGGCTTTTGAGGGCCTGTCAAAAAAGCTCTGCTTCCTCTCTGCTTCTCCTAAATTCTAAATTCTCCTAAATTCTTCTTTATTTCTATTTAGTGCTGCTTTCTGTTGCCCTGAGTTCTTTTTAGTTTTGTTTATTTTTGGTGTGGCTGTGGTAAAACACGAAGAACCCACTTTCATTAATATTTGAAGACCACAATAAGACTATGCATGGATGAGTGCAAAGGTTTTATTTTGTAGCGAGGACCCCAGGGGCTCTTGTAAATGCAGGTGTTGCCTGCAAACTTTTGCAAGGTGCCTAGAACTAAGTGCTCCCACAATCTTCACTGTATGAATACCATTATTAAACTAATAATATATACTGTAAGCACGTTGCTCACCATGGTTTGAATGTCGTAGCAGAGGCACACAATGATTTCCTGGAAATGTCTCTGATTGCACAGAAAAACAAGAAGGTTTTTGCTGTTCTTGAAAGTTGGGATAGTAGAAATGTTTATGCTTTAAAAAATATGTATGTCCTACCTGTAAACACGTTAGACACTCTGCGCAGTACTCCCAAGGTTTTTATATCAGCAACTGATTGTTCCAGGGAGCTTTCTTTACTGCTGTGTTTTCCTCTTCACTCAATACTCGGCTTGACATTTTTAGCACCCTCAGAAATCCTCTGTTCATGTAGCTCCTAATGAAGTCAGTGGGGGACAGAGGACACAATAGCAGTGGCTGGTGTGGGAAGCAGCTGCTTAAACTGTGCCTGAAAAAATGCATGAATAAAATGACTGAGAGTACCAAAAGTGCCACTTCACAGATAGATGAGTGCACATGCAGAAACAAGGAGCTCATGCCTGAATTGGCCAAGATAAAGCAGTTGTAGTTTGGGTCTTAAAATTCATATACTTGAAATGTTAGTAGTTTTTTTCAGACCTTTAAATATTTCTGCGTGAGTGTTTGGGTAAACATGACATCCTCGTCAAACCGTATGTTCAGATTATTTGTTTGAAATCAGCCATTCATGTACTGCACTGCATTCAATTTGTGGAGAATAATCGAAACCTGAACTAGGGAACTGTTTAGGGCTTTTGAAGCAACAATAATCACAACAGGGATAGGCTGCAGTCCTATCAGATTTTACATACGCTGCTTTATCTGTCACCATAACCACAGTGCACAAGTTGAGGCAACGTGCCGGAACTTTCTGGTGCAGCAGATGGATCAGCTGTGCAGTGTGAAGGTATAATACACCCTCACGAGTTGCCTGCAGCTTAGCGTATCTTTTGTTTGCCATGTAATATTTCTGATGGAAATGGCAGGCTAATTGCATTTATTATAACACTGCACATCATCAGTAGCAGCATTTAAAATGTAATTTGGAACAAAAGCTTCTCTCTGAAGGGGCGCCCCTCAGCTCAAGGTTGCTGCTGTAAATATCACGCACTGTTTTCTGCTATGAAAAACTGTTTTACAGCACAGTGCTAGATTTATTGAGGTGAGCTCCTGCTCCTTTCAGCTCCCCACTAATCAGAGTGAGCTTTGCCTTTGCCAAGAATAGCTTTTCAGGGGCTTTCAGATATTTCAGTTGATTTTCTTAGAAAGATCTAAGAGAAGGTAGGTGGTCTGAACAGTGGCTAATCACTATGCAAACCTAGAAAGAAAGGGTAAAAATCACTGGAGAGCAGAACCTAGACTAGCTCTATCATCATATTGCAGGCTTGAGATTTGCATTTTTACTTTGAGTAATGATTTCAGGTTGAGAAATGTTTTAGTTGGAGCCTTGCCTACCTTTTCTCTGTTAGAAACACAAGAAATCTAACCAGCAGCTGCACCAAATGACTCCTATTCTTGAATTATTGCTAAATTATTAATAATATTTCACAGAGATACGAAATACATTTGCTTTATAATATAATTGTATGGGAAGCTACTCTTAGCTACAGATTTATGCTCAAGATGATATTTTTTGGCCACAATAAGTAAGGAAATCAGCAATCCAAAGTTTAAATTCAAATGGGAGTATGGGGAGCTACTGGGAGGTCAGCAGCAGCAACTGCTGGGCTTTTCAGATCTTGTAAACACCAGTTTAAACTATTTTATTCACTCTTGGTGACACTGAGCTTATAGCTTGAGCATCACCTCAGTGTGTGTGCTATTTCTTCAGGCTGAGTTAGCGAATGGGTGGTAATTGCTAAGTTGTTGTACCTTGATTGTATGCCTGAGACCTAAACAAACCGGGGAGTAGACTGCTTGTCAACCAGAAAATGCATATTCTGGGATGGAGGGAAGAGCTGTGAGCTTAAATTGGATTTTCTCCTGCATTAGCTAACAAGACTTTTTGACCTTTACATGATGAACAGACCAAGCAGAAGCATAACAATTAAGAGAGAGGGAGAG